TAACTCAACAACCTCAACCAATCTGTCTCTGCAAGACAGCAAGTATTTTGATAGATTTCAGGATGAGTAGGCTTTGTTTCTGTGATATCACTTAATTCCTCACTGCTAACAACTGTCTTCCATTTATGTTTTTCTAGGGCACTGCCTTGTACCCAGAAACACTCGTCTTAGCACAGCCACTGCCACGTCTGCCAGTCACTCCTTAATCCAGAGTACTACGCACAGGGGCCACAGCATCACGTCTCTCCTCTTTGTATAAAGCACTACTTCAATTTCCAGGAACGGACCAGTTTATTTTCCTCCTTCCAAAACTAACATTACTGCTACTGTAATCCTGGAAAAAGAGATACCCAGGGGAGAATCAAACAGCAATAACAGAAGTTGTGAAAACAAAATGGCTTCCTTCCATCTGTGAAACACAACCACTGGGGAGGGAAAAGGCGGAATGCTTTGAACAGGAATCTCTGCAATAAGAGTTTATTTAGATGTGTCAGACAGACAGTGTCCTGCTGTGCTTGTCCCCAATTATCTGGAATTAGAAATAAGATGGGGAGAAGATTGCAAAGCTTTGATCTGAAGCAAAACAACACCAGTTTCGTGGTATCAGTCATGTCATACCCTTAGAGGCAGCCAAGCCTGAGATGTCCTAAAACTCTCATACATCTTACCCTGCGTCCACTGACCTCCTTTGATCCAAAAGATGAGTTGCCACTTTTGCACACAAAATGACAGCATCTCGTAGAAGGAAAGCTGCCTGTAACCTCATGGCTGCAGCTTCAGGACCAGCTGAATTAGTTTGAAGTTTTTTGCTAACCAAAAAGAAAGAATGACAGTTTCCCCTCCTCCCCTCCCTTCACTCTGCTCCTTTACTGGACAGTCAGTATCGTATCGTTCCCTCCTTTACATCAGCATGACAGACCACCCTAAGCCTGTGTTCTTTTAATCTTGAGTTAGTCCGGGAGAGAGGGAGAGCAGGGTCGGTCAGGAGCAGAGTGAAGCTATGCCCTCCCTCAATTTGGGGAATCAAGACACTGGATCACCCCCAGTACTGGCCTCCTTGAACACCACTGGAAAGGTTGCCCATCAGTGGGGCTTTAGAATACCTCTAATTTGCCTCATCTGTAATATTTTTTTAATATAATTTGGCCGGAGTTAAGCCCACACATTATTTTTTTCTGATTACTCCAGACATCTCTGCTTTCTATTAGGACTTCAGCAATGCACAAGCATTCAGCCTTGGTAATTGCTCATGTTAAAGCTTTCTGCAATCATTGCAGAAAAGAAACAGAAACTCAGACTTAAGAGAGACCTACCTAAAAATGTTATTAGCTTCTGGTTTATTTTAACTGACTGAAGGGCACAATCACTTAACATAAACAAAACCATTTTCTTATGGAGTAACACACACATAGTTAAGTTTGTTGCTCACATTTATTAAAAAAAAATCTGTTAATTAAGTAACAGGGCATGCTACCATCGTGAGTCCTAAATATTTTAACGCACATATATTCATAGTATTTTGTGTAGTAACGTACAAATGTATCCATAATTATCCAACTTCAGGGACAAATGCACATTTCACAATTCAGTTAGAAAATATGGCTCTTCCACAGAGTAATATATCCAGTGCCTGACACCTATCTTCACTCATTTGAAATAACTAAGTTTAAAGTATAACTGCTAATATTATGCTGACCTCTCTTTTTAAGGATACTTAAATGTCACAATGAAAACACACCTTCATCTTTCACTTCCACCAGGAAAGCATCTGAGATCTCCTAGATTTTTAAACAGAGGTTTAGAATTAAAAACTTAAGGAACAGGAATTTAAATAACAAACAAATTTATGTGACCATATTTGAACACACACATCTGATCACTTGAAGTGTGCCAAGAGACACAACACTTCCTTCCTGTGATTTTAAAATCTAGAGAGGCAGTGAACTTAAAAAAACTTGTCCAAGCACCACTGTTTTGAAAATCAGCAAAGGTTTTCAATGACCAGCTGACCAAGAAAGCAAACAAAAAAGTTATCTGTCATCTGAAAAAATTATATATCATTTGAATACTCCTACTGAAAAGAAAATGGTAAAATAGTGTCAGGGTAAACTTCATACCCAAGCTTCACTACTTGCAAAGTGAATACCTGCCGAAGCTAAACTGTCTCCTAAAAAAAACCATCAAGAGCTAGACATTACTGAAAAACAACTTTTATCTTTCTAAGTGGTAACAGATTAAATTGTGACACAGGAGGAACCTCCTGTTCCAATCTAGATAAAGAAGTCTTCTTTCAGATAAGATTTCATTTGCATCTGTCTGTAGCAGCAAATGAATTGGCAAGCTCATCTCTTAAGATGGTGGAGATGTTGGAAAAAAAACCCCAAACAACCCAAATCAACAAAAACCCCTACCCTTTAACAGAGAATTTTCAATCTTTCAAGAACAGTACCAGTTACCACAAATTTAGTGCAAGCTGGTAATAGAGATAGATGAGCTAAAGACACAATTCCTGCAATTCTAGGAGTGACAAAAATGTATGCACAGAAACCACAGGCTTATTAAAGCATTCCGTCCAGCATTGCACATGCCATGAGCAAAGCACTGGACACAGTCTACCAAAAACCAGGTCATTGGCTCTTTGTTGAGTACATCAAGCTTCCTGAGATGTGCCCACATCTGCCCATACTGGGACCTTTAGGAAATGGTGGGATATATTAGTCCACTTTGTCAGAAAGCATTCTTATGCACTTTTTATTTGACCAATATCCCAAACAAAAGGGGGAAAAAAAGAGGAAAAAAAGGTCATTCTGTACGTCTTTAGCGTAGCCCCACTTCTTTGCTCCTACCTAAAAAAAGCAGGACTTGCCCTCACAGAAAAATGTATCTTTATTCCTTCTTTTGTGGATACAACTACGAGAAAAGGGAGAGGGAGAAGGGAAGAGAAGACATTAACCTGACTCTTCTTACTAGCTTTCCTCTCCATGTCCAACTCCTATTGCCAGTGTTGCAGATAAAACCTGACAGGCCTATACTTTTAAATAGTCCTCATGTGGCCAGCATACTATTTCCCTATTACACACAATGTTCAGTTTTCAGTAACTATAGGAAAAATCTGAAGCAGTCTCGAAGTTAGTCCAAATTTTGAACCTATACACAAATGACTGGTTTTAATTCAAATTAATGCACTTCCAAAACATATCTATTTGTGTGTCTGTGCATCTGTCATCTTCATCTCTAGTAAGCAAAGCTGCACAGATGTTTAGTTACCTACATTGGTAATTTAAGAGGATTTTCAAAGTTTTGCAAAGAAAAAAAACAAACAAAAACCCAAAAACCCCACAACACTTCTCTGACAACAACATGAAATAAAATTAGATACCACTGTAATTCAGAAATAATTCTGTTAAACCCAAGAGTTCAGTCAATAAACATTAGTCCCTTACATTAAATGTAGCTTATAAATGATTAAGCTTTAACAGTTCCACCCCCCTCTAGTAGGTCAGATAAAATCTGCTACTTCTTAATTGGCAAAATATTTAACCAGTCTGAGTAATCACTTAAAGACAAGTTAATCACTTGATTCCATGTGTTTAAAGATTAACATTTACAGTGCTCAGAAAGTATAAACCAGTTACTTAAAAAACCCTATTTGCAGCTCATTTCCTTTTATCTGAAAATACAATAGCTACTAGCCAACAACTACTCTACACAGAAGTAACTTTTTTTAAGATTTACATTAATTTTAACTAGGAACCTGGTGGTCTGAATTCTATTTCTGATTCTTTATGATCCAAGAAACTAATTTAATCTAATTTTTTCAATTAAAGTCTTTACAACTATACCTAACAAAAGAAACAAAACAAAAAAAAGCCAAAAACCAAAACAAACAAAACAAACACCCCCCAACAACAACAACAACAAAAACCAAAGCCCCCCCCAAAACCAAAAACAAAACAAAAAACCAAAATTCTGAAAAAAATCACCTGCTCAAACTTGCGAACTCCACTGTTGGACAAATCTCATTTCTCAACGTGCAAAAAGCAGAGGCTTTTCTTATATTTCTTCAAGAAAGGAATGCCAATTCCAAAAAGCAAAACTTAAAATTATTTCTGAAAATCTCTTTGGAAAAACTAACATATATTAACACAGATCTAAGTAAAGATTTTTAAGCAAGCAGCACTAAAAGCAAAAGATATGCTCCAGAATAGCTGAATTTTACCTTTAATTCCAGCATGTTAAAAAAACCCAAGTTTTTTTCCCTTTGATATATAATAAAAAGCAGTCAGGTATAGCAAGGAGTACATCTCACTTTTTACTGGACAACAGTACATCTTGCATTTTACTGGAGCCACTGGTTTCCAGCTCCCTGGAGATGATGAAGCCTTGACTATGAAGAATGCATCATAGTGATAAACAAGGGATGCATCACATGACACACTTCCAAAATATTCTAGCAAATAACATTTAATTCCCTTCTTCTGGTGATCCTGTGAATGAAATTTCTAACATAGCTGATGATTCTGTGTGCAGAGTTAACATCAAATTGCTCATGCTGTAGAACTGGGAGGAAGCTGGTTTCTGAAATGCACATCTAATGAGATAATGGTGCAGCAGCCCGCCTGCCTGCCTGCCCCACAACACCGACAGCTCAGCAATCAGCTCTCTGTTGGGCTGGAGACTTTCATTCACTGGTGCCAAAACATGGGCACTTCTAACATGCATTTTTTTCTGTATAAGAACCTAGCATCAGTCTTCATCACCAGTCACAGGTAAAAAACCAATATTCTGATTAAACATGAGGTGATTGTCATGCCTCACGTTCCCCAGACTCTCTGAAGTTTAATATGTTTTACATACATTGAAGTTACCTAAAACCAGTCATGCACATAAGCAGAGGGATCAGAAATGGTAATTCCCAACTCCCAACTGCAGGCACCAGCTAGAAGTCTCACAAAATCACGTTCTTTCAAGCATTTTCTCTGTACTCCTGGCTCTCTTACTCTCAAGTGGGTCAGCTTCCGTAAGATGGGAAAATCCTCCAACTCCTCTCCTTCCAACAATTCTGCGACCTGGTGGTGAGGACACTTGGAGGTGGTGACTACAGATGGGTTACCCAGCCTGCAGAGAGATGGGAACACAGGTTTTCAGCAGAAGAACCCCAACCGACAGGCCAAGGGCGGCTATGGGACTACCTCTTAAGCCAATACACTGTGCGACTACAGGGCAGGCACAGCTCTTTAGGTAAAACATATCCTCAGGAGTGAATCCCGTGTTGGTAGAGATGCCCAGCATCCACCAGCCAGGTAGTAGCACCACGCCAAAAGTAGGCAGAAGATGAGTAGCAACATTGTCCAGAGGCTAATGCTGCAAGACTCACCACACCCTTGGAGATCTCTGGCTCTTTCTACTGACTCTACAAACATTGCAGGGTCTAAGATCAGGTAACATGAATCAGGTGGCAAATTTTTCAGCACTACATGGGACTCAAACATGGAGTTGCTCTGAAGCTGCACTCAGTGCTTTTATATACATCAATTTCTGGCAGAATTTTAAAGCATGCCTTTCTGAAACTAAATTAATGGGAGAAAAATGAGTCAAGGGAAAGATTCAGTTTCCTTTTACATGCATGACTCATTTTAATTATCATCCTGCAGGCAGATCAGTTAATTGCCAGAAAGAACTGATTATTTACTCCTTTTCTCATTAGGTAAGAGCCATTACACACTCAGACTGAAAAATCACAACGCGAACTAAAAACAGACCTTGCTTTATAATTCTAGCATTTTTACTTCCTTTTGTATTTTCACCCTATTTTCAAACTGTATTTTTTGGAAAAGAATGGTGAGGCTACATTGCTAAGGCATGCTTTTCTTTTTTAACACCTGAATATGGTTACATCAGCTAATAAAGCATTATAGTATCTATTTTTTAAACTAAGTATCCAGATGCATCTCTAGGACTTTATGTTTTAATCAGTGAATTACTATTTCACAGTAACTCCTTACACAGGATTTTCTTCAAAGCACTCACCAGATCAAGGTTTGTTTTTATGTCACTATATTATAAGGGATCTCAAACTAAACTAATTTTTCAGGGAAGTGGAAAAAGGACAGAAATTTTAGCTGCTTTTTTAGGCTGTGTGATATAGTTCAGGATTTTTTTGTGGAACAGCAGAAGTCATGCTAGAAAGAGAAGACAAAAATGAAATCGATCCCTGGTGACACGGCAAGTGCTCAGCTAATGAAATCATGCCAAAACTAGCACCTGTAATTAACATACAATGGAATGGCAATGATGAAAGCTCAAAAAAAGTTATCTTTCATTCTGTCTGAAGGAATTGTGTATTGTGGGTGGGACGGTATCTTTTTTTCTCTAAAGAAATCAGATACATATGTTGGTATTTCAGCATGGAAATAAGACATGGCAGGCATAAATAATGCAGTCCCCTAGCTGCCATGATTTATTATTGAAGAGAAATATATCTAGAGAAATTATCTGGATTTATGAACATTCTCACTTATGCTGAGAATCTTCAAGATTGCATTATTTCAGGAACACATTATCTCTAACAGAAGATGCCTCCAAAAAGGCATTCAAACTTGTGAGTGGGCAGAAACCCTAGCCACTGGTTGCTGGCAAGGTAAGCACTGGTAGGGTCCATCTGGCCAGTTAAGTGTGGCAATAACTGCATTGATGTGGAGATGACTGTACTGCAGGAAGGACTCTCCTCTCCTCTCCTCTCCTCTCCTCTCCTCTCCTCTCCTCTCCTCTCCT